AATATATTTTTTTTAAAAATAATAATAATATTGAAAAAAGCAGCACAAATATGAAATCCAGAGTAGCAGACAGGATCCGAAACCTAATCTTCAGCAATTGGGAACCAGTAGACAAAATACACATACCAACCAGGGATCGACGGGCCACCGGAGACCGAGGCGGAGATGGAGCATAATTTCAACTACGACGAGCACGAGCACGAAGTCTATGGCGGCGATATTCCCGACGACGCCGAGATGGATGCTGACCTCGATATGTCCTCTGGTAGGGCTGACGAAGAAGGCTACGACGATGCCGAGCCTACTAACGCCAACTCGAAGGTAGCTTCGCGAGTTCTTCTCTGTTTTTTCCGAGCCTTTTTCACGGAGTTTCGTCTCTGATTCACTGTATTTTCGAACTGTTCAGGACTTGGAGGACATGAAGAGGAGGCTTAAAGAGATCGAGGAGGAGGCCGGTGCTCTTCGGGAAATGCAGGCCAAGGTTGAGAAAGAGATGGGCGCTGTTCAAGGTATCTTCCTTTTTTATCTCTGTATTTCAGTAAGTTAGTTGTTGAATTCTTTCATTGATCTTGGCTTGGCTTAAGGCTTAATCTTTACCGGTTTTTAATGGTGGTGGGAGGATTTAAGTTGCCTGGATGAGCCTAGTCTTAACATTGATCGCATGTTTGCATATCGAAGAGAGTGAATTTAAGTTGCAAACTGTGAATCAAGTTCATGAAGTTCCAAGATCTGTTAGGGCTGAACCTTATTGAAGTGATTTAGTGGGTAAATAGGAGAGTTTTGTGATAACACAAGGTTGTCGGATAGTATAAATAGAAGGCTTCTTAAATTGGTTGAGAGCCCTTGTGGGAAGTATGGTCTAGATGAGGTTAAATCCCTAACTTACCAAAGAGTTTTATACTAAACTAACCTAAGAGTTTTATAAACGTTGTCACTTTTTATAAACAGTCGAAGTCCCGTTAGTTTTCGACAAACATCTTTGAACTTCGGTTTCTCGGGAAGAGAAAAGAAAAGATCGTTAGATCTAGGAAATTTTGAATTTCTTGAAGTGTTATTTAGCATTGTTATGTCCAATGGGTGCATAGCATTCTTAGATTTTTTCTTTGTAGTCTCGAGTTTTTTTGTCTTTTATTTTATAAATCAACCAGAAAGTTTTAAGACTTTCTGTATTTTGATGGTATTTGACAAATTTCTTATAACGTTCGTCTTTTATCCGGGTGGAACTAAACTTAAGTTCTTTCTTTTCTTATTTATGCTATTTGAATCTGGAACTTCTTTTTTTCACAACTATGTTGCTTTAATTGTCATATTTGGGCAATAATTTTCACTTTATTAACAAAACAAATTGATTGTTTTAATGTCCTCTTATTTCCTATGCTGTCAAAACGATACGAACTTTTAGCAAGATGAATGTGTTCTATGTGGCATGTGCATGTCTGCTCATTAGATACTCTATAGGATTGTTCTCTGATTAATACTACTTTTCTTGTTATCATTTATCTTCTTTTTGGCTGTTAGAAGTATATTAATCAGTGGAAGTTTTATCTCATACTTTGGTTAACAATCTTTTTAGGATTTTTCATTTGTTTGTAACTAACTCGTGTTCCTTTTAAAATGTAAGAAGATTCATCCAGTACCTCTGCAACTCAGGCTGAAAAGGAGGAAGTAGATGCTCGATCGGTATACGTTGGTAATGTGAGATTTATCACCCTTTTCATTCACTATGTCATTTTAACATTGAAGTTTTTTCCGTACACATTTATAGTATTACATCTTTAGCATTGGTCTCCTTTTCGTTTCTCTTTAGTCATCTAACAACCATGGATTGGTCTTTACTATTTATATTCGAATTATCTAAGTACCGGAATAAAAATATTGAAAAACTTTTTGTTTAAAAAAAAAAATCTTTTACTTTGAGTGACAGTCTTTCATTAAAGAGTAATTTCAGACAAGAAATGTAAAAGATAAAACAATTATCATTAGGGAATACTGCGCCACAAATTATAATATTTTGAACTTGAAAAAATTAACTCGTATTTTTTTCAGTTTTTCTTTGTGGAAAATTGTTAAGCTGTTGCTAAAACTAATAAAACAGAAAGTGCACGTTGAGAAGACCCATGGAACTTAGCTAAATCTAGTACCTGTTCCCAGCCATGCTCTTCCCATTGAAAAGGATTTCTTTATAGCTGTAGCCCCCAAATATGTCTTTGCTGTGTGGATCCATAAGGTTTTAGCGTTTTCGTAAAGTCGATGCCCCTGTGACAACTAGTTTATATTATATTCGGGCTAGCTGAGTCGGCAAGTTCTTCATAAAGTTGTAATGAAGGAAGGGTCAAATTCTGCAAATGGTTGGTATCAGAGTAGTGTGAGAATAAATGGTCTCGGTCTTGCTCTGCTTTCATACAGATCAAACAACAGCTAGGATTTTTATTAGGACATCTCTTTTGCAATCTATTCCCTCTGTTGACGCTCTCTCGGGAAAGGGACCTAAGAATTGCTTTTGCTCCTTCCCTGATTTCCTTGCATTTATTGAGTAATGAAGTTCCAAATAACTTGCTAATTTCTAACTTATCCTGGTTTCTTCTTGTTACTACCCTTCTTGAATTAGTGCTGCTGTCATTCCGAGCTTCTTGCACTTGCTAGTTCTTTTCCCTGTATAACCTCTTATAATCTCGAAAGCCTTAAACAATAATGTTGATTTCCCCCTCACGTATCCTGCCAAAAGGAGAGCCAATGCGCCCACCGAAGGCTACACACACTTCCAATCTTCCTTTCTTCTAAACCCCCATTCATTCATTTTTCATATATGCTTTCCACGACCACCACCTTATCCCATAGGGCGCTAGACTCTTTCGGAAATCTCAATAACCTCTTATCCATAGTGCCCATATGCTGATGCTTAGCCCAACCTTTTAATGTTGCAATTATCGACCATGAAGACATAAACCCAATCAGTATAGGGGAAAGAATTCATCGGCATGATCAATCTCAAGAAGTGATCAAAATTTTGGACCTTCGTAGAGTGTTACCTTTCTGATTGTATGTTCAATTTATGTGAAGTTTATATTGAATATATGTCAAGTCATTATCAGCTGTTACGAGGAATTATATTTTATCAATATTTCTAATATTTGGGTCTAAAGATATCTTTCCTTTAACTTGCTCCTAATCTTAAAAGTCTTGATGGATGGCGGATTGAAGTGTTATTTCTCCTTGGGCATACTTTTCTTTTTTGCCTCTCTCCCTATTTCATAAGGTTTTCCAATGTCATATTTCAATACAAGATTTATTTTTTTGTGTTGTGGTTTTTACTTCAGGTTGACTATGCATGCACTCCTGAAGAGGTTCAACAGCATTTTCAATCATGTGGAACAGTGAACAGAGTCACGATTTTGACTGACAAATTCGGTCACCCCAAAGGATTTGCATATGTTGAGTTTGTGGAAGTTGATGCTGTACAGAACGCTTTGCTGTTGAATGAGTCAGAGTTGCATGGTCGCCAACTAAAGGTATTTTAAACTTCAGTTTATGTAAGAACTTTATGTTAATAATTTATTTCACCCATACGCCCCTAATAGCGAATGTATATCGGAGCGGAGAACGACGTTGTCAATTTTTGAACTTCACCAAGCTTGTACGCTCATCTTAGATAAATTATAGAGTTTTACTACTGACCATAGTCGATTTTTGGTACATTTTGCAGGTCTCCGCCAAGAGGACAAATGTCCCTGGCATGAAGCAATACCGAGGAAGGCGACCGAACCCTTATGGCTTTCGAGGTCGCCGCCCTTTCATGGCAGATGCCCCTTTTTATCCTTCGTATGGTTACGGGTAAGTGCTGAAATACTATATTTCTTTTCACAAGATGTGTGGATGGTTCATTTTCATTTTCAGACACAAACATTAAGTGTACTCCTTCAGAATTATCAACTTCCTATGTATATTGTTGAAAAAGGGAATAATCAACTTCCTTCTACTTTCAGCTTTATAATGCAAGTTTCTATCTTCTTACTTTATGCAGAAGGGTTCCGAGGTTCAGGCGGCCGATGCGGTACAGACCATACTAGGAGGGTGTATAATGCTCGTACTACTACCGCAAACGATTGTTCGGGTTCAGCAGTTCATTCGTCAAGGGCTCAATTTCCATCTCTATAACTTGGAGGGTGTGGATTGTACTCTATTCATGTTTTAACATCCGACTCAAAGAGTTTCTTTTTATGAACCTTGGTACCAGTTTTAGCTTGTGGGGGTTAAGATTTGTGGTTTGCTTCTTTATGTTGGCTCTGGAAGAGCTTAAAACCCATTAGAGAATTTTAAGGAAAGAAATTAAGGAAACTGAAGGACACAGCCTTTTGTATGGTGAATTGGAACTGATCATGACGTAGAATTCTTTGTTATTTAAGAAGTAATTATAAGTTGATATGAAGACCTCCCCCCCTTTTTTGCCCTTTCCAATTTGATTATATTTGTATATGTTAGATCTCTCTTTAATTTTCAATTTTAAACCTCTCTTTAATTTTCAATTTTAAAGCTCTCTTCGATAATAGCTCGCCCTTGGCTTATTGAAGAAGAAGAGACGTGGTAAGAGATTATGTGAAGGACCCTAAAGTCCCAAGCTGATAATCTCTTGGATAATCTCGGTGCTTGAGTACCCTCTAATCGATTGGTCGTAGGTTCGAATCCTACAATAAGTATTTGTTGGACCTCCATTTCTCGAGAGGGGGCCGGGCTGTAGTTCCCCAACGGCTGACTAGTGGTAGCAGAAAAACAAACTCGAGTGAGCTTCACATGCATTGCTAAACACATCGTCATGAACCAAACTCTTTTGAATACGACAGATTCAGTATAAAGCCAATTTTACACATATATGCGATTCCCATTTCTACGCCACATTATTAAATTTTCTTTCCAAACTATAAAATCAAACTTTATTGTGACCTAAAATGGTGTTTGAACATAATAATAAAATAAATAAATAAATAAATAAATATATATATATATAGATATACTTGCACCAAAGCATAGTTAGCGGGCATATTTCATTATTTTGAGTTAATTTCTCTCTGGGTTGTGAATGTAGCCATTGCCGCGAAGAACTTTGAAGGAGATCAGACCGCTAGCAAGTTCATCGATCTTTTGGGGTTCAAATTTTGACTTCTAGTCAACGAGCTTCCAAATTCGACGAGTCAGATATCCAATGGCTTCTAATTATGGATTAAACGAAGAAGCAGCTGATTCCCCATCATCGTAAGTGTGTTATTTGATCGTTCTCGTGTTCTGTCGTTTTTTCTCTTTGTTTAATACTGTTTCCATTTTGATTATAGCTTCAATTCGTTTTTTCTACTTTGTTGAGGGATTGATTTATAGGACTGCCTGTCGATTGATGAATTATTTTTTGTTTGGTAAATAACTATCAGGCCTACGAATGTGTACAAGGATCCAGATGACGGGCGGCAGCGGTTCTTGCTCGAATTGGAATTCGTTCAATGTCTCGCGAATCCAACCTACATTCACTGTACGTTCTTGCAAAATTTAGGGTTTCTGTGCGATTGAAAATATCAATTACCTGAAACTTCAACTTGGAGTGTGCGATTGTATACTAACTCTGTGGCATAGAGGGAAAAGCTATTAGATGTCCCAAAACGATGGGATTAAGAAAATGAAACAATCAAAATATCAAAAACTAATTAAGAAAAGGAAAAAAAAAAAAAAATCCACTAGATTCGTTTCGTTGTAGTTAAAGAATTACTTCAGTCTGTAACTGTGCTCGACACGAACAACAGCGAATCTGAAGACAGATTCTGGAAGAAAATGGATCAAAGAAAAAGATCACTACTAAATATCAGATTTGGCATTAAGAGCCAATGTTCCTTTTAAATTTGCATCTTTATGAGCTAGATTTTTCACTTTTAGGCCTGATTACTGCTGTAACTTACTGTTGTTCCTACAAAATCATCATATAATTTATCTAATGAGCCTACTCAACTCAGAGGTCGGTGCTCGTCTTGTTGATCTTTCTGCCTTATAAGACGTGTTAGCATTGTACAATTCCATAATGTGGTTCGACATATAATCGTTCCATTAATTTTATTCTTTTGATGATATGATATGGTCTCTTATGACGGAAGTTGTGAGATCCCACATTGGTTGGAGAGAGGAATGACCCGTTGCTTATATGGCAACCTCTCCCTAGTAGACAGGTTTTAAAACCGTAAGGTTGACGGCGATACATAACGGACCAAAGCGGACAATATCTGCTAGCGGTGGGCTTGAGTTGTTACAAATGGTATGCTAACGAGGATGCTGAGCCCCCAAGGGGTGGATTGTGAGATCCCACATTGGTTGGAGAGGGGAACGAAACATACCTTATAACGGTGTAGAAACCTCTTCCTAGTAGACGCGTTTTAAAATTGTGAGGCTGACGACGATATGTAATGGGCCAAAGTAGACAATATTTGCTAGTGGTGGGTTTGGGCTATTATGGAAGCACAATTCTGAAGTATGACACAAAATTTTAGGTAGTATCTTCATGTACACACTTGGATTTGCATCTTAATGAATAATGCATGCACACTGGCATTGAATTGTTGGAACAACTGCTTTTTATGCCGTTCTTATAGCTGATCATCTAGTTTTATGCAGATCTGGCTCAGAATCGTTACCTCGAGGACGAAGCTTTTATCGGTTACTTGAAGTACCTTCAATATTGGCAACAGCCGGAGTATATTAAGTATATAATGTGAGTCAGATCTTTCCCTCTCGTGTTAAGCTTTTCGTGAACTGATTACGCTATTGGTATTAACATCAATGTTTTCTAGGTATCCTCATTGTCTCTTTTTTCTTGAACTTCTACAAAATGCGAACTTCCGAAGTGCAATGGCTCATCCTGCCAACAAGGTTAACTTCTGCTGTTTTGTTCAACTTCCCTTTTGAGATCTGAATGTTTATTATTGCAAATGGCATGAACTTGCTCATCCTGAACTGTTTGATCTTTATGAGCTGATATTTCCAGTTCCTTTTTCTTAGTATTTTAACACAGTTGCATTGTTGGGAATTCCTCAGGAATTGGCACACAGGCAGCAATTTTACTTCTGGAAGAACTATAGGAACAATCGTTTGAAACATATTTTACCGCGATCGTTTCCCGAACCTGCTGCCCTACCACCCCCAGTTTCTGCTCCATCTCAGGCACCTGTGCCTACCACAGCCCCTGCCATGGCAGCTTCTCCTGCTGCTGCTACACCTGCCCTTTCACCGATGCAGTATGGTATTCCCCCTGGATCCGGGCTTTCAAAGAACGACATGAAGAATGCAGCAATTGATCGACGAAAGAGAAAACATGTAATCTGTTGCATTTCATTTGTTTATTTATTTGGTTTCTTTTTTAAAATTTTATCGGTGCTCTCTATTAGTATGTGAGATCTCACCTTGGTTGGAGAGGAAAACGAAGCATTCCTTATAAGGGTGTGGAAACCTCTCCCTAACATATGCGTTTTAAAACCCTGAGGCTGACGGCTATACGTAACGGGCCAAAACGGACAATATCTGCTAGCGGTGAGCTTGGACTTAAGCTGTTACAAATGGTATAAGAGCCAGACACCGAGCGGTGTGCTAGCTAGGATGCTGGGCTCCCAAGGGGAGTGGATTGTGAGATCTCACATTAGTTGGAGAGGAGAATAAAGCACTCCGTATAAAGGTGTGGAAACCTCTCCTTAACATATACGTTTTAAAATCGTGAGGTTGAAGGCTGAAGGCGATACGTAAAGGGCCAAATCGGACAATATTTGTTAACAGTGGGCTTAGGCCGTGCAGTGCATTAGAATACATGCATACATGCATTTTCCTTAGGCCGTGCAGTGCATTAGAATACATGCATACATGCATTTTCCTTTGCCCCTTCAAAACTCTCTTTTCTTTTGTGTTTTGACAGGAAAGAAGTATGTAGTTCAGCCAAAACTAGGCTGGATGCGGGAGCAGCTCGTGAGGTAATCTGCATTGATGTCAAAACTTAAGTACTTTCCATCCTGTTACTTGGGGTCGTGCAAAATATCTCCATTGAGAGCTCATAAACATGAGCTACACGAGCTCGATGTTTTTCGGTTCGAGTAATATGTTCATGGAAGAAGCTCTACATGTTATTAGTATGAAATGTTCCGAAACAATCCTTAAAAATACTGCCTACCGATATGTCGGGTTATTATATCCACCTATAATCCGTGGTAAGCAGTTCCTTCCCTAACTTTCGTTCTCTCCTTCCTTAATTGACTTCGACATGAAACGTTGTGGTTGTATGTGGTTCGAATGGTATTAGGATAGAATTAGTAACATTACGACGGTTGTAAGGATATATTAGTAATTAGCTAGAAAAGTCGTGAAGGTAGTTTGTTTTAAGTAGGGAGATTGTTTAGCGGATTCGACTCCAGTGGCATCTCAATGAGAGGTTTTAGGTACTTCGATTAAAAAAAAAAATATATATATATATATATAACTGATTTCAAATATTTGCTATCATTTAAAAAATTATATATTTTATTATCTCTGCTTAGGAAATTGTTACATTATTTACATATAAGTAAAGAATAATTTAGGAATTAAAACTTTTATTTCTTTAATGTGAAATTAGGAATTAAAATAAAAAAAAAACTAATTTAATTTCATTATTGTTTAGTTTATAAACAATTTAATTCTTACTTATGACAATATTAAGATTTAATTAATTTTGTTTACCGATAAATTAATAAAAAAAATTTGATACTTAATTTGATGATTTTTATAATAAATTTTAAATTGAGATTAAATCGTTAAAAATAAAATTATTATAAATTTAAAATGAAAAATCAATAAAATACAAATTTTAGGGATTAAAATACAACAAGGTGAGTGATGAAAATAAGGGGATATTGCATTAGCCGAAGAGCTCTGCAGCGCTCAAAGAAGTGAACTCCAACAATGGCGATGGCTGCTTCTGCTCGCAGCTCCATGACCTTCCTTCTCTCTCAGCGGACCCTCTTCTTCTCCAATTCCATCATTTCCTCTAAGCCCTCTTTGTCCTTCTCCCTCAAAAGCACTTTCAGCTGCCTCGCTTCCTCTGCAAGTTCTCTCCAATCTTCCACTCTCGAGCCCCAAACCGCTTCTCGGCGCAACGTCGTCGAAATTCTCGAAGAACGAGGCCTTCTCGAGTCCATCACCAGCGACAATCTCCGCTCTGCTTGTCTCAGCCCTCTCAAGGTCTATTGCGGCTTCGACCCCACTGCCGAGAGCTTACATTTAGGTAATCTTCTTGGTCTCATCGTCCTCTCTTGGTTTCGCCGATGCGGCCACACCACCGTCGCTCTCATCGGCGGCGCCACTGCCCGCGTCGGCGATCCCTCAGGCAAGAGCCTTGAACGGCCAGAGCTCGATCTCCAGACCTTGGAGACCAACACTCTCGGAATTACAAATATTATAACTAGAATTTTGGGGAACTCGGGCTTGGATTCCAATTTTAGCTCTGATTTTGTGATTCTTAATAATTACGATTGGTGGAAGGAGTTCAGATTTCTAGATTTCTTGAAAGAAGTAGGTCGGTTTGCTAGAGTAGGAACGATGATGGCTAAGGAGAGCGTTAAGAGGAGATTGGAATCGGATCAAGGAATGAGCTATACTGAATTTACTTACCAGCTCTTGCAGGGATATGATTTTCTGTATCTGTATCAAAACCAGGGCGTTTCTGTTCAGATTGGAGGAAGTGATCAATGGGGGAATATCACTGCAGGGACTGAGCTCATTAGGAAAATTTTGCCACAGGCTGATGGCGTTTATGGCTTGACATTCCCTCTTCTTCTGAAGAGCGATGGCACCAAATTCGGCAAGTCCGTAGACGGCGCCATTTGGCTTTCGCCATCGAAGTTATCTCCATACAAGTTTTATCAGTATTTCTTCAGTGTCCCAGATGCAGATGTGATTAGATTTCTCAGAATTCTCACGTTTTTGGATATTGAGGAGATTCGAGACTTGGAAAGTCAAATGGCTAGCCCTGGATATGTACCGAACACGGCGCAGAGGCGGCTGGCCGAAGAAGTTACTCGATTTGTTCATGGAGAAGATGGTTTGAATGAGGCCCTTGAGGCCACTGAAGCATTGAAACCAGGAGCAGAGACAAAGTTGGATTGGAAGACTATTGTGGGGATTGGTGAGGATGTTCCATGCTGCTCGTTGGAGTACGATCAAGTGTTGAATCTTTCGGTTGTCGATCTTGCAGTTATGTCTGGTTTGCTCGAAAGCAAGTCGGCTGCCCGTCGTTTGCTGAAGCAAGGGGGACTCTATTTGAATAACAGTAGAGTGGATTCTGAGAGTAAAAAAATTGAAGCTATAGACATTATTGATGGGAAAGTTCTACTTTTATCTGCAGGAAAGAAGAACAAGATGGTTGTGAGGATATCATAACCGAGCTTATTCAGAAACAGCTCATTATTTCCTAACCAACATGTCTTATATTATTAACTTTTGGATGAATTTTTTTGTTAAACTATTTCAAGTTCACCGTTAAGGCCCCGATCTTCGAATTGACGATTTTGAGTATGAGTGAACTTGTTTGCAGCTCTGGAAGTAATTCTTTCAGGTACACGCTGATATGCCAAGTAAGGAGGGACGGCTGCAGGTTTAAATTGATCGGCCTGTCCATTACTTCATCGAGCAATTATAACTTATCGGTACGTTTTATCGCTTAATTGTTGCTTTATGGTTACCTATCTGCTAACTTTTAACAAATCAGAGAAACAGTTGGTGAAAGAGAAGTAGAAAGAGATGTCTGTTAGAAAGATGAGTTATAAGAGATAGTGTTAGGTAAAGAATCAAGATCAGTAGCTTTGTTCTCGAATGTGCAGCGGTTTTGCTCCAACCAAACCGATCAAATGGCTCGTCTCTTATAAAATCGAGAACCAAAAACAGAAATATAGAGTCATCTTTCATATAGACAAGACTTAACTCTAGAGCCGCATGCTGAAATTCATATTGAAACCCTGATTTTAAAGATTATGGCTCGGGCCCTACTTGGCCCTCTTTGAGCTTGTTTTCGACACTTGTGTCACCTCGTTCTCTCAAACCTTGTTATGCCTCACCTTAGCTTGAATGTACACTTTTGGTGTGTTGGATGATGCACCGTACTCCTCGGTCGCATCATGGCACTTCTAAATCTTAACCCTCACGTGGCTGGATGGGAGTACACTATGTGAGATACGTATTTACAAAATTTTGAGTATCAAGGTTGGTAAAAGAAAGATCTTAAATCCAAACCATCCAGGGACATTTGTGACTGTCAATCACATTGGCCGAGTTCCACGATGGAGAATATGGTTAGAAATTCATAATCTGTCGACACGGATTGCTTAGTTAGCTTCTAACCAATCAAAGAAAACCGATGTTAGGATTTGGATATTTCTTCATTATGGGTTTTTCTGATAAACAATTCACTTGCTAATAACTTGTTTATCCCGTTCTGTTCGTGTATAGAGCTGTTCGTGTATAGCGACTTGATTTTATATAGCGTGATTTGCTCTGCTTTTGTAGATAGTTAATGAAACTGTTGCAATAAACTAGAAGGGATCTTAGAAAGAAACCAGGGAGGTGGAAGATTGTGTTTCAACTTTGTTCATAAGTTCATAAGATTTGGTTACAGAACAGGAAAGAAAAGGGGCATGTTGGTTTAAATTAGTGTTCATTTTTCCTTTTGAGTATGAATTAAGATTTGCTAGTTTTTTCGTTCTGAGTCAGTTTGTGCTGATAACTCTGGATGATCGAGTCGGTTTATGGCAAGCTTCAGTTAACGTGTACGATACTCGATCGAATTTTAACCATATTTAGCATCAAGGAATTCTTAAGGAATTCTTAGGACATTTTATGTCTCTTAAGATTACGAGCCATTGGGATTGATGCATAAACAATTATGATTAGAGGTGTTCAAAAGGCCTCGGATCATCCAACTTAACTCTAGTTGAGTCATCTACTTACTTGAGTTAGGATGAGTTTAAATAAATAAATAAATAAATAACATTATGGGTTGACCCGAAACAACTCGGACTTATTATTAATTTAAATATATATATATATATATTGAAATTTCTATTTAATTCTATAATTATTTATTTTTCAATAAAATATTAGATCTTTGTAATTTAAATTTTCGAAATTCAATTGCAAATTAATAGATATTTATACTTCTATTAAAAAAAATATTGTATAAATAAGTTGAATAACTCTAACTTACCAAACCCGATATTTTATGGTTGGGTTGGTTAGAAAAATTAACGTCAATGAGATTGGGTCTAAAAATGTTCAAACCCGACAAAGCCCAACCCATGAACACTTGTTACTATCTATATTTTTAATTAAAAAAAGTAATTTTTTTTAATAAAAATTTCTAATGAATTTATTTGCTAATAAATTCAATGTTTTATTTTTTGATTTTGAAAGCTAAACCAAAAGTCAAATATGTTCAACAACTATATTTAAATAAAACGTTTTAAAGACGCGGCCAATATTGTAAAAATTAATTTCAACAAAACGTAAATCAATTATTTTTAAAGAAACCTAGAATTTCAAAATAAAGACTTTTGAAAAAAAAAAAATCATGGGCTTTTAAAAACAAATTTTTTATTTAAAAAAATGTAGATATAAATTTAGAAAAATAAGAAAAAACAAATCAAAATGTGGATAAAAATCTGTAATTTAGTCAAATTGTTGACATTCAAGCCTATATTTATGGTGAAGTACAATTAATTAAATCGAGTTAATTAATCCAATATTAACGGGTAAAATTCAATTAATTTATTTTAAATTACTATTTACAATTATTAGCTCTTCTCCGCTAAACTTTCAAAAGTTTCAGTAATACTCTTAAAAAATACATTTTAATATTATGGCAAAAATCATTTTTCAAGTATAAGGTTAAAATGTATCGTTTAATTTACGTTATAATTGAGTTTTGAGATTAAAAAAATGAAAAAAAAAATATTTTGCAATAAGATGTGTCCCAATGGAAAAGAGTAATATTGTTATAACTGAAATGCAATGTCGTTCAATGAATAGGGTGTGACTGTGAATTAAAGATTATTAAAAATCATATTTAAAATGCCTCAAACACTTTCCCTAAACAATCTCTACCACCAAATGAATTCAAAATACAATTTGACATTTCAAGTAAAAATAAAATTAAAATTAAAAATTAAAAATTAAAAATAATGTGGTCATAATTTTCACGCCCTTCTTTAGTCGTTTGTTTGGTTTACTATGAATTTCATTTCCTCAAGCAACAGATGTTTATTTAATATGAAATAATTAATTTTTTTATTATAAAGTTTTGCATTCAAATCCATTTGGTTTGTACGATAATTACAATAACAATAATTATTATTATTATTCCGTAAAATTTCATGAGTTTGACTCTCCACAATGGTATGATATTGTCCACTTTGAGCATAAGCTCTCATGGCTTTGCTTTGAGCTTCCCCAAAAAGCCTCATACCAATGGAGTTAGTATTCCTCACTTATAAACCCATGATCACACCCTAAATTAGTCGATGTGGGACTTCCATCATCCAACAAAATTATTAATATTTTATAATGTTTTATTTAACTATGACAAATATTAAAATAATGAAGTATTTCAGATTTAACATAACCATACATGATTTTACCGAAACGTCGGTAGAGGAAAGCAACAATGTGATACAACACAAGGGACATACAACAGACACACGACTATAGACATGTCTTGAACAAACATGACTGTCACACCTAACAAATGTAGGAATTTGTTTGCATCCTTAATAACTCCTCTCGAACAAAATACCATTTGAGCACCCATATCGTCCAAATGCCGTAAAATATTTTTTGATGGCAACAATCACCTATTGGACCATTCGTTACGTCCCCTTGAACAAGACCGACTCCTATAAATAGAGTCATACTTGTTTTTCCGACATCGAGACAAATCTAAGAGTTTACCTGACGTTTAACTAGGTTTATATTATGATCTCATACCAATTTGACAAAAATAACGAAACCTCTCTTAGCAATTGTTTCGATAAGCACGGTCAATAATATAAAATATTTTATGAATTCTTTTGTTGAAATTACATTAATACCCTTCCATATCTCTAAAAATTAAATCGACCCGAAATGATTAAACAAATAGGGGTGGGTAGGTGCATAAATTCCAGCTTGGAATGCTAGAGTTTGAGTTTGATTCCAATGCCTATTTAAATTATTTTTTTAACTTATTATAAAAATATTATTTATTTATTTATTTAAATATTGGAAATGAAATTTGATTTTTTTGTAGCCTTTCAAAACTCAAAGAGCCACGTTATCCATTATTCAAACATTACAAAATAAAATATTAGTAATTAATAATTGCATTGAAAAATATTTTTAAAATTATAACATGCACATACATGTAATAATAATAATAAATAAATAAATAAATAATAGAGCACAAATTAATTTTTTATTTCATTTTATTTAATCGTTTTTAATTAATCTAATGAATATAATTTTATTAAAGCTATTAAAATTATTAAAATTATTAAAATTATTAAAATTACCCATCCGCCCCTTTCCAGAGAGTCGGTGCGTGGCCACGTCATATCTATGCAGCGCTCTGAAAACGGGTTTTACTTTGTTAATTCCTTTTTTGGTTTAGTGATCAGAACAGACAACGTGTTAGCCTTTATTTTATTTTATTTTTATGGATAATGACTAGGTGGTGACGTGTCAACGCCACGTGGAGCTGAGTCGTTGGCTCCCATTAACCATATTCATGGCTGCTGCATATATGGGTCGTCGTTGACAAGTTGGTCTTTTCATTTGATTTTAGATATTTAAAAATTAAAATAAATAAATCTATTTTTGCGCATTATAATTTCATTTAGATTAAAAATTAATTTAAGGAAAAAAAAAAAACTTTCAGAAGAGACATTGAAACTGGCTTGAAAAATAAATTCAGACCAAGGCATCTTTCTCTTTAGCTTATTTTAATTTATTTTTTTTTATTTTTTAAATGGTAACTTTCCATCTCCGTAACGAATAAAATTAAACTTTAGAATTAAAAGAGCGGTGGAATGAATATAAATATAGTTATTCCGTTTGAATTTTTATATTCTCATTTTTAATATAAGAATTATTTTTTTTAAATAAATATCTTTGATCCAAAATTTTTTTTTTATCATAAAATTTCGAATTTCTTCCGTTTCTATCTTAAAACTTATATAGAAATTATAATTTTTACGCTAATTTTTTTTACTATTTTTATTTGGGTAACTTAATATGGTTTTAACTTAAAAATATTATTTTCATTTGATTCGAAAAATTAAAAATACGATTTTAAGGGTTCGTAGAATTAAAAAAATACGATTTTAACTTAATCACAACTAAATTATTTCAATTTATTAATCCTATTTTAGTTTAATATTGATTTTTGAATTTTGAAGTAAAAAATTTAATTTCTCATATTCCATTTTTGTTGTAAAAAAATATTTAATTGTGAATTAAAAAATATTTTATATTTAAAAAATACATAATTTTAAATAAAATTTCAATGTATTGTGTTTAAAAATTATTTATAAAGTTCTTAAATTTAAAAAAAAAACTGAAAATCCGGAATTGGGAGTCAGAATATTTACAGGTTTTAATGGCAAGATCCAAATTACCGGGAAAAGGGGAAAAATAAAATTAATTAGGGAAAGGCCCCTAAACTATTAAGAATTCGTTTTGGGACCAATTCAGCTTCGTCTTCCTTCGGGGATTAGGACTACTGCCTACTAGGACTCGTCTCAGATCGCAGCCTATAAAATTATCTCATTTTGCTCTCTCTTTCTATCATTCCATACCTTTCTCCCTTGTTTCATCTTCGTTTTCACTCAATCGACTTGAGATTTTTCTCGTTTTCCGCGAATCTCTGTTTCAATTTTCTCTCAGAGTCGTTCCATTAGTAGTCGCGATGAATGCTCTTGCAGCAACGAACAGAAATTTCCGCCATGCTGCTCGGATTCTTGGATTGGATTCCAAGCTTGAGAAGAGCCTTTTGATTCCGTTTAGAGAGATCAAGGTTTGTATTCTATTCTGAAACTGTTTTATTTTGATTTTCTGGCTTGTTTTTGGTTGTTTCTCGGTAAAATCGCTTTTTCGTGTTTTCTGATTTGTGAATCGAAGACGATCGGTCGATCGTTCCGTTGATTTTATTGCTTGATTGATTTGGAGTTGAATGTGGCGTTGGAGAACAGGTGGAGTGCACGATTCCAAAGGACGACGGAAGCTTGGTGTCGTACGTCGGGTTCAGAGTGCAACACGACAATGCTCGTGGCCCCATGAAAGGAGGGATCAGATATCATCCTGAGGTTTTTGTTCTCTCTTTCACTATTTACTTTTTTTTTTCCTCTCTAATTGGGAGATTTTGCATATTTATCTCTTCATTTGATTAAGAAATTGATGGTTTAAGCTCAAAAGTAGAAGATAGATTTAGACATAATCCTTGTTTCCAATACCCTTAATGGAAGTCCAAAAGGCAAAAAGTGTAAATTTTAAAATATTTTTCCTATAAGTTGATTTTTTATTTTTATTTTTAGTTTTGTAAGTTTATCCTTTGTTGAAAATATACAAAATAGCCTAAATTTATACTTTTACAAATTGCAATAAGGGTACTGTTTAAAATTGATGGCCATTAATATAGTCCTCAATATATGCCTTTGGCATCAGAGCTCTGGTCAGTCAATTTGATTGCGTATATGCATTTTTTACACGATTTCTTGATATTCGTTGAATTTGATTCTTTGAGCCTTATTGAAGGTTTAAACATTTTGGCATTACTAATTCCTAAAATACATATCAAGCGATCTTAGGTTCAACTAACAAATTCAAATTGATGTAATGTACTTCTGTTCAAATCCCCTGTCCTCTAAATTGTATACTTGTCAAAAGAAATGGAAAACCGTTCTGTGTAGTTGATTTGTTTAAACATGTTAAGACAAGAGAAAAGTTCTATGACTTAAATGAGGAAATGTCTTCTTGAACTTCATTATTTGTTTTGGTTTTTATTGAGATGAATGGTTTGTCTGAAAAGGTTGATCCCGATGAAGTGAATGCTTTGGCTCAATTAATGACATGGAAGACTGCTGTTGCTGATATCCCATATGGTGGTGCAAAGGGTGGCATCGGCTGCAACCCGAGGGAGTTGAGTAACAGCGAACTCGAGCGGTTGACTCGTGTGTTTACACAAAAGATTCATGATCTCATTGGAATTCATACCGATGTTCCAGCTCCAGATATGGGCACAAATGCACAGGTTCGAACTACTGATTGCTGCTTGGTCATGTTTTTTCTGTAATGCTTGAATTCATTTAGTACTCTGAATCCCATGAGGTTAGTCTCATATTCTGAGATGATGTTTGCAGACTATGGCATGGATTTTGGATGAATACTCAAAATTTCATGGCCACTCGCCTGCTGTTGTCACTGGAAAGCCCATAGTAAGTCCTTAAGTATATTAAAATCCCATGAGTTTTCAAGCTTCAAGTGTCTCTTACTGACTTTGTGCCTTTGAAATTTAAGGACCTGGGTGGATCACTTGGCAGAGAAGCCGCAACCGGCCGTGGTGTTGTTTTTGCAACAGAGGCTTTACTTGCTGAGCATGGAAAACAGATCAAGAACATGACTTTTGCTATTCAGGTACTTGAAACATGTTAATTCTTGCCTCTTTTGTTGCACATTGCCTGCTTTTCCATATATAAGGTACTGACCATTTGCAACTAAAAAATTACAGGGATTTGGAAATGTGGGATATTGGGCATCGAAGCTCATTCATGAGAAAGGTGGAAAGGTCGTTGCAATAAGTGATATCACCGGTGCAGTAACGAATCCGAACGGTATCGATATTCAAGAGCTTCACATGCATAAAAAAAGCACTGGAAGCCTAGTGAACTTTCAAGGTGCAGATAGTATGGATCCAAACGAGCTACTCATACATGATTGCGATGTTCTTATCCCTTGTGCCTTAGGGGGAGTTCTAAACAGGTTTGTTCTGTCCTGAAATTTCAATCTTACAATGGCCAATCTATATGGTTATAAATGTTTTATGTTGTTTACAGGGAAAATGCTGGTGAAGTGAAAGCCAAGTTTATCGTTGAGGCAGCAAATCACCCCACAGATCCTGATGCAGATGAGGTAACAAGCCAATAAAGACATGTTTTTCCAAACCATAAACAACCAGCATTGGTTTCTGATCTCTTAATCTCCATTGCTGCAGATCCTATCTAAGAAGGGCGTCATAATTCTACCCGACATATACGCCAATGCCGGTGGAGTGACTGTAAGCTACTTCGAGTGGGTTCAGGTAACAAAACCAAAACAAGACATGTTTTTCCTAGTACTTCTTGGTTGGATGGTTAATGTAAGACCCCACATCGGTTGGAGAGAGAAACGAAGCATTCTTTATAAGGGTGTGGAAACCTCTTCTTAGTAGACGCATTTAAAACATTAAGGGGAATCCTAGAAGTGAAAGTCCAAAGAGGACAATATCTGTTAGTGGTGGGCTTGGACTGTTATAGTTAAACTATTCGTTATGTTATTGGAATCAATTACAATATTTGACGCTCTGCTAGATAACGATATCATGAAATGGAAGTAGTAGTTATAAGCTTAATTTTCAAAAAACTAAATGGATATCTAACGGGGAGTCCCGTCGTATAACTAACAATAACATCATTGTACTTAAATCTGCAGAACATTCAAGGGTTCATGTGGGATGAAGACAAAGTAAACAGTGAGCTACAAAAGTACATGACCAAAGCATTTCACAACATAAAGAACATGTGCAAGTCCCACGACTGCAACCTGCGAATGGGCGCTTTCACGTTGGGCGTAAACCGAGTCGCACGTGCCACGCTTCTTCGAGGTTGGGAAGCTTAATTTATAATAGAAGATAAACTTGTCTATCACCACGGAAGAAAGCAGAAGGTTGGATCTAACTTCTACTAGTATTTAGTTCTATTTGATTTTCTTCAACTTATGAAAAAGCATACACAGATTGGATTAGCATAAACTGTTGAAACTTAATTTTTTTTTTCAGCGTGGTAATTTGTAACATGTCTTAATTCTATTGTTGTTACATTATGCCTATGAATGAAAATGTAATAAATTCTGATTACTTCTTCACTTTTCTTTTAAATTAAATTATCTTGGACTATAAGAACATCATATTACATATTTAATTTAATAAATGAAATAAAATAAATAGAGAAGAATTTGTTATTGGGCCATAGTGGAGCTCAAAGTTATCCTTTGGAATGCAAATAATTTGGGCCCATTAAGAAAGGAGGGCCCAAAATGGGCCCCACTTAATGGGTTAGAAAATGGCTCAAGTGGATGAATTTAGAGGACACCCACATGGATTTGGGGCCTTAAACAACAATAATTTTCAACTAATTAGGGCACCCAAGCTTGGGCATGTGTTTTTTTGTGCCCCACATTGTCGACATTTTCAGTGCTCTATTCCTTTTCGGTTGAAATTCTGAACTATGCTCTATGTGCACCTCTTCTTCTGAAGGTTTGGAAAGAGAACAAATCACCCCTTATAAGAGTGTGGAAACCTTCTCATCACCCTTTTATATGGTTGTGGAAACTTTCTCTTAGCAAATACGTTTTAAAGCCTTGAGGGAAAGAAAGCCCATAAGGGAAAGCTAAAGAGGCGCGAGCGTTTTTAAGTCTTGAGGGAATGCTCAAGAGGAAAAGCCCAAAAAAGACAATATCAGTTAATCTGGACCGTTACAAAAACTTTAATTTTGCGAACCTTGTTATATGGTCTTAATTTTAAAATATTAATTTGAAGAGACATCAAACCCTAAAGCATGTTAAACTCATCATTACATAATCCACTAGCATTTAAATAATTCAAAAGGCGGGTTTTTTTCCATTCAAATAAAATTAAATTACAAATCTTTGAATAAGAAAAATTAATTACATATCTAAACCTTATATTACGCTTAATTATGGCCTTTTATCTTTGTAGTTAACATCAATTAACATAACCAATTCTTAATAGTAATTATCCATTCCTTTTAAAACCAATAAATTTTATTAACACTAAACAAATAGTTATATTAAAACATAGTATTATAACCTTAATTAAAATGGTAAAAATCTAGTTAAAATAATATACTTTTTAGATATTTTTGTCCACTCTAGGGGCATAAAAAGAATCATAGCCGCACATCTAATAGAATCATCACTATGAAAAAATAACAATATTTTTTAAAAACGACGTGGTGGAATACACGTGGCAAGATAATAGAGTGGCGAGATTGAATATTTAAAGAGAATCACAACCGTCCAACCAAAGAACGTGGAAGTCAAAGTCATTACCTGTATTTTCCACTCAGCAGATCACGGCACAAATTATCCTCACCCAAAAAAAAGCGGTTGTAATCAATTCCGTGACGGTCCAATTCTGTTCCGTCTTTGATCCACGTGGCTTCATTTGAATGGGCCGTTAAAGCTCAATGGTGCCCACCACCATTGAACTTGGTTAGCTTAAAATGGGGTGTTAATTTCACCGTCATCTCAATTTCGATTTAATCCTATAATTTTTATTTTAAATTTTTAGAGATTTTAATTAAAGAAGACCTTCCGGATATTTAAAAAATAAAAACATTATATATATATATATATATATAGCCAATTTGTGAATTTATTTATGTTCAAGTGGTCGAACTAATTATGGATAAAAGAATTTATTTTCTTCCCTAGTTTATAATATAGTAACCTATAAAATATTTAAATTTAATTTGTGGGCATAGGATTTAGCATTTTATTTTTATTTTTTTGTGGAATTTCCAAAAAAATAGAAATTATTCCAATTTTCTCTAATATTTATGCCCATTACTTCATTTTGTTCCCATAGAAATAGAAAAAATCTTCATTTTTTATTAAATAAAATATGATAAATATCATTAGTAAAAAATTATAAAAGTAAGTAATTCTATTTTTTTTAAATTAACTGGTGTTACGTAATTTTAAATTTTGTAAATTAGAATTAATTTTTATATATTATCCAAATTAATTAATTATTTATTTTCCTTATAAAAAAAGCGATTTGTTTTTTTTAATTAGTTGTTTTGGCATCTTTATACCTTTAATGCTAAAAACACGTTGTTTAATTATGTCTTTTTAGGGTAAAATTGTGGAGTATGGGCGTGCACTCACAAGAAGAAATAAAAATTAAATAATAATAAATAATAAATAAATAATAATAATAAATAAATAAATTGTCTCACTATAAAATGCCACTTCGACGATCACCACAACCCAACCACTACCTGTAAACCAGAATTAATAATTTCTACAAAGCTCTCAATAAAAACATGAAAAAACCATCAACATTTCATCTCATCTTTCTTCTCTCATTCATCACAGCTTCCTCCGCCGTCAGCCGCCGCGATCATAGCCGGAAACTGCTCAACTTTCCCGGCATGTCTTGGGGACCCAACGGAAATGGAGGTGGGAACCCCACTGGCGGCTATGGCTCTTCCCATGGCCCTAATTGGAACTATAATTGGGGTTGGGGGTCCAGCCCAGGGAGTGGCTGGGGTTACGGCTCAGGTTCAGGCCGACCCTCAAACGGGTTCGGAAAAGGTTATGGATATGGATTTGGATCAGGATCGGGATCAGGCTCGGGATGGGGATATGGAAGCGGAGGTGGTGGTGCCCATGGTGGTGGATATGGGTTCGGAAGTGGCTATGGCAACTCTGAAGGTGGCGGGAATGGCGGCGGATACAGCCGTTCGAGTGGTACCGAATATCATTCCACCACTAATTCGAAGGATAAAAACAAGCCCTAGTAAAAAAAATATGTCGATAGACATATAGGATAATAATAATAATATAAATTTGTAAGAGATTAGTCGTATCTATCTCTAATATCATTATAATATATAGTTTATAAGCTAGCTTAATTAAAGTTCGCCTATTTATGAGTTACCCTTATAACTATATTATAGTTTGTATTATATTGTATATGCAATTACTTAAACTAATTATACTTAATAAAAACATATTTAAATTAATTTAAATATCAATTATAATATATATATATATATATATATATATATATATATATATATATATATAATGGTAAATAAATATAATTTATTATTGTGTTCATAAATATTTTTTGTGAGATTAATTATGTTTTAGTAATTAAAAATTAAAATTTACTCAACTTTAATAATACTAACATTTAAATTTTCACAAATAGATTGAATTAAACAAAAATTACAATATTTATACTCACAAACAACCAAAATACAATTCTACGCAATAGACATAGAGGGCAAAAATGTCCAACTACAAGAGAGGCAAAAATTAGGGTGGCTTCTTGGGCCCAAAAAAAGCCCACATTTAAGCCCAATAAAGGTCCACATCCCCACCTCAAAAACTTCTAGCTAATTTAACGACTAACCGGGAGAGCCCGTGTGCCTTGCCACGATCGCATCTAATCGATCATTTCATGTGATTTAAGCTATCAATCGTTTTTTATGCGACGCTTCATCTTCGGGAAAGGAATAAAATTTTATGGGAATCGGAAGATTGGATTGCGTCGATAACACTTCTGCTCGGAGATAAGAACAGTAAGTGTGAAAAGTGTTCAGTGTCACGTTAAGTTGGAACCCTAAACCAAATAAGAAATCGATTTCAAGAAGGTTCATCTCCACCGTGCTAATTCCACCTACTTTTGCATAGTAGGCATTATTGTAACACCTGAAAATAAAAATATCAAGAAATAAAATAAAAATTTAATATTCTATCGAACACTAAGAAGAAGAAGAAGAATCGAAACCCGAGACCCGAGACCCGAGACCGAATTCAATCCGAAAATCAAGCAGACGAGGAATTGTAAGAACCCAATTGAACGAATTAAAAAAAAAAATCATAATTATAAATAATAATAAAAAAAAAGCTTACAAGTCATCCAAGAACTTGGCGGAAACAAGAACACTGGTAATGAGGAGGCGATGAACATTGAAGGAATCAATGGGCAAAGAAGGGTGGCGCTGAGCGAGCCGATCGAGATAAACATAAGCCACGACGAAGCAGCTGGGGCTGCAATTAGCGTACTTAAATATCCTCTCCAAGTAGGTTTGGATGGAAATGGTGGGCTTTGTCAAGCCATGAAAGGCTGAAACTTTAGCCGCGCTATGAAGCTCATGGCTTTGATCATTGGACTCCGACACCCTCTGCAAAAGGGAGGACAGGAAAGTGATGACTTTGGGAATTGGAACGGCCATTTGATTATGGTGATCTAAGTCTGCCATTGATGGAGCTCCAAGTTGTTGAGCTTTTGAAAAGCCTTGCAGCTGCCTCTGAGTTATCAACAGGGTGGAGAATAAGTACAGCTCAGGTATTTTTTTTTTTTTTTTTTCTTCTTCTTTCTTGGCTTTTTGTATTGAAATGTATTGGGTTTTGTTTGTGTGTGTTCATTTATGGGAAGAGGAGGTTTTTTTTTTTTTTTTTTTTTCTTCTTCTTTCTTGGCTTTTTGTATTGAAATGTATTGGGTTTTGTTTGTGTGTGTTCATTTATGGGAAGAGGAGGTTTTTTTTTTTTTTTTTTTTTCTTCTTCTTTCTTGGCTTTTTGTATTGAAATGTATTGGGTTTTGTTTGTGTGTGTTCATTTATGGGAAGAGGAGGTTTTTTTTTTTTTTTTTTTTTCTTCTTCTTTCTTGGCTTTTTGTATTGAAATGTATTGGGTTTTGTTTGTGTGTGTTCATTTATGGGAAGAGGAGGTTTTTTTTTTTTTTTTTTTTTCTTCTTCTTTCTTGGCTTTTTGTATTGAAATGTATTGGGTTTTGTTTGTGTGTGTTCATTTATGGGAAGAGGAGGTTTTTTTTTTTTTTTTTTTTTCTTCTTCTTTCTTGGCTTTTTGTATTGAAATGTATTGGGTTTTGTTTGTGTGTGTTCATTTATGGGAAGAGGAGGTTTTTTTTTTTTTTTTTTTTTCTTCTTCTTTCTTGGCTTTTTGTATTGAAATGTATTGGGTTTTGTTTGTGTGTGTTCATTTATGGGAAGAGGAGGTTTTTTTTTTTTTTTTTTCTTTCGATAGGCCTCTCGAGATGTATGGGATATTCGCTGGTGATAGGTCCCGCTCAGTATCCTCCTCTTCCTTCGTCTCTCGAGATGTATAGGATATTCGTTGGTGATAGGTTCCGTTTAGTGTCCTCCTCTTTCTCCGCCGTTCTCTGACTTGCGGGAGTAAACAATGACAACTTTCGAGTTTGAAAACTCATAAATCAAATCCGGGAACTAAGTATATATTTTGCTTAAAATTTGACAGTGGATGGATGAAAATTCAAATTCATCCTCCGACCTGTGGAGAGTAAACAATGATAGCTTCTGGGTTTGAAATTTTATGGATCAAATTCGAGAAACCGGTTATATTTTGCTCAAAATTTAACGGTGGACGTATGAAAATTCAAATTCATATGATTAGGTCGATGAAAATTAATTTAAATTTCATTTGAACGATGTCTTAAATTAATTTGGTTTTAATTCAAGAAAATAATTAAAAATAATTACAAAAGAACAGGCTGTTTTTTTGCCAAACTAAGAAGCGATGTCACATGGTTAATGCTTTATATCTAGATCAGGCTAGGAAGAAATTTGGTGGATTTTCTTTTTCCATATAATTAATTTTTTTAATTACAAAATGGTCCCATAAATATTACTATTTGTCATATGGTCCCAATCTCTCCATTTCTTTTTTATTTATTTTTATTTTTCTAACAAACAAAGGTGAATACATGGGCCAACTCTCTTGTCAACTTTAATAAGTGCAAATAGCTACATAGGGGTAAAAGGGTAATTTCAGTTCCCGTTTATTTGGTAGGTTTATAGTGACATACCTTTTAAAAGGGCTCGAGTCTCTCAATAAACACCATACACTTAAAATACCAACTTGGGAGAGAACGATAGGTCCTTTTTCCCTTTGCATTTAAGTATCTACTCATCATATAGCTAGCTATCTAGGGGTAAAAGAGTAATTTCAATTCCCATTTATTTGGTAAGTTTATAGTAACGTACCTTTCAAAAGGACTTAGGTCTCTCGATAAACACCATACACTTAAAATACCAACTTGGGAGAGAACGATAGACCTATTTTTCCTTTGCATTTAAGTATCTACTCATCATAGAGCTAACCCACGTTCTATTTAAGGTCCCAATGCCTAAATAGAAAAGTCGTTTTTTGGTGAAAAAAAATCAAATTAATAAATGACCGAACCATCAATTAGTCATAATTCAACTAGTTCAAACATATATTATCAATTAAGATTAGCTCGAAAGGTTTAAAAATTACCAAAATCTCCCTAGGGTGATTAGTATTTAATTTGATTATAATAACACAAATCTAGGTCACGTTTTAAAAGCTTTATTTGAATCGAGCACAAAACATAAACCGACTTTACTTATCATTCTTAAATTTCATTATATTTTATTTTAATATTTTAATTTTAGAAATATTTTTTCAAATAATTCCTAACCGTTCGAAAAAGTTATGATATAAGTAATTTAGATTTTTAAAAAATCTCGAGAACGGCTTTCGCTTATCGGTGTTAGTTCAATACTTTTCTTATGTACTCGTATGTGAAATATTGGATTTGAATCAGAATTCGGTACTCGACATTATTTTAAATGGACGAATTTAGCCTTGTCCCCTCAATTTATTCTTTATTCTAAATATTTGAAATTTTAGTGATTTCAAAATTACTTGAGTTGGTAAATATGGTGTCGGCTGATAAAGAGAACAGAGGGGTAAGGAAGCAACGACGTGTCGGCTGCGATACGTGTGCTTCACGTGTTCGAAAGGTGTGGGGTGGCCATGTTTCAATTTCAATAATATAATTGGTCTACATTTCTCTTCCTTTTTTAAATATTTTTTTAACATTTAAATCAAGTTAATTATTCACCGACAGTCTTGCCGAAAATCTTCAATATATATATATATTTATAATAATCGAATATTTATATACACAATTTCAATGTTTTACATTATAAATTTAATTATTATACTTTGAATATTTTTTTGTTTAATTCATTAATTAATGTTTCAATATCTAGAGTTAGATCTGTAAAATTAATTGACCGTTGACGTGACATATCAATTATATAATTTTTTATATTTATATGATGGATAAGTTGATGAACATATGATGCCAGTGTTATATTTGCTAAATGTTGTATTTGTTAATGTATATGAAACTTTTGAAATATAATATTTGAGATTTTAAAATTAATTTTTTTTATGAAAATAAATTCAAAGATTAAAATATAATGCAAATTTAACCTAGAAAAAAGGTCACCAATGAATTAGCTAATTGATTATACTCAAAATGATGGTCAATATGAACTTAAATCAACAATTAATTATCCCTATTTTCTTGAAAAAAAATTATAATAAAAAATAAGTAAATATAATTAAAATTTAAACTACCACCAATGTTAAGATTTTTATAGCATAAAATGACTATGTAAGCTAATTCAAGTATAATTGAGTGGATAAGACACTAACTAACCATTTAAAAATAATAATTTAAATCTTACGGTAACCATTTAAAAATAATAATTTAAATCTTACGAAAATTTAAATACCAAATGATTAAAATGAGACAGAGAAGTCATTTTCTTCAAATAAATAAATAAAAGACAAAAAGTTCTAAGGAAATTTAAAAAGGCAAAATAAAAAAAAAAATAATAATAATAAAAAAAAAATAAAAATAAAAGGATATGTGGACTAAAGTTTTCTTTGTAACGTATGATAGCAAATAATTGGGTTCATCCGAGTGGTGGGCATTGACACACCAAATATTTGAGAAGAGACGCTGTCCCACTTGTTTTGTCTCTGTCATACAACATTTTGCTGTCCCACTCCTTTTCAAGATTTTGACTGTTTCAAATATATAGCAAACAAAATACCTCAAAAATGGTAAGCAATCCCAAATACCAACAGCTATAACTAAGAAGAGGAGACACTACGGACCCATGCGAGGCTGGTAGCTCAGAGCTTTGGAGCACATGATTGAATCACAATGCTCGTAGTTCTAAGACAAAGAAAAACATGTAGCTCAAAGATAGAGCACACGATTATGGATTAGGATATCATCACAGATCTGAGGAAGTCAAAATAGAGCTTGTAGCTTAGAGGATTGAAACAAGTAACAGCAAACTAAGACATCAATGGTTTGAGTAAGAAATTCGGCCGACACAAAACATGAACTATAACTCAAAATATTAGAACTAATGACAATTAAATACGATATTGGAAGTTTAAATTTGTTCATAGGTAGAAAATTACGATAATGTAGACTACACATCTAATAATCCTATCTACTCATGCAAACTAAACTTTCCTTCAAACAAAGATATGTTTGAATATTCTACTACGACCATTTCTATTATTATTCATAGAACATCATCGATGACTTTCCACCATTACTTTGTACAAAAGGATTATGTTGATATCAAAAACGCTTTGTAAAGTACTTTTAAAAATAATATGATATCATTCACTTTCAACATGCATGGACCAATTCATCAAGCTTCCACAAGATTTTTAGACCATTAGATTGAGGGAAAGCATCCTTACAACTACAACTTCGTTTATTAGGAAAGCCAAACCAATTACAGATAGATACATACATCCAAGATTCTTTTTACAAGTAACGTCTGAGAGAGCTTGTCAAATCTAGTCATAGATGTATACAGAATACCATAATCTTGAAGCTGGGAAACTAATATTACCTGCCAAGACCAACTTAACTAACCGTAGCATCGAATTGGGTCATTGCAGCCTTTAGCAGCAGATTGCTTGGAGCCAAACCTCCCACCTTTCTCAAGGTATTGCTGATGGTATTCCTCCGCTCGGTAGAATTTCTTGGCAGGAAGAATCTCAGTCATGATCTTCCTGTTCAATAACTTCTGGTGGCGTTCCATTGATTCGAGAGCCGCTTTCTGTTGTTCAGGAGTGTAGAAGTATATGCCAGATCTGTATTGTGTTCCCACATCATTTCCCTGTCAACCCAAACAATATGAATACTATTACTTGGATTTAGATCAGGGAATGAATAGAAGACTCATATCATATGCATAATAATGGAAAAGTTATCTCAATGCTAAATATCGTGTATGATGCATCTTTCAGTACAAGAAATAAGATAAGTAGCTCATGCTAGAAAATGACACAAGTAAGAAACAAGAACAATATGTTTAGCTGTCTGTAGTCCTTGAAAAATAATACTTTTTTCCCCAAATTGGTCGGAGGATGATTTTCGAGTCATTTGAAATGCTGGTCGAGTGGGATCCATATCCCCTGAAATCACTGATTCAAAGCTTGAACACTCCTATTTCTTTCTAAACCAATCCTCTATAAATGAAGCTTACAAGTGAACCTACCGAAGAAATCTTCCCCTGTCAAGAATAGGAGGATGCAAAAGGACTTTTCCTATTATAAGAGAACAGTTCTCTCGAACTACCAGCACCCTAAAAGCTTTAGACTGTAAGCCAAATCTTCAAAGAGGAGGTTCCTCCAAAGAATGTGACCCAAAGACTTAAATGCATTTTTTTTTTTTTGGTTTGGCAAAGAGCAAATCACTACGAGTCTATGAGCAAGAACTAAATTGGGAAACCTCTGGATAAGGTATATGATGTTAGTCCTCCATTCGGGTTGGGTTGACGCAGAAGTCAAGTAGGAGGTGAAGTGGTTGGATTTTTCGACCTGTTCCAACCAAGGAGACAAAAATCTTGATCGAGAAAAGCTGAGCAAAAGGAACGGGGCTAGGGTAAGCTGAGCGCATGACATGCCTTAAGAAAAACTCAGCTTTCTTAAGAATTTTACATTTGACCCCTACCCCTAAAGAACAGCCGACAAACAAAAAAGAATAAAAAATGCAATTTGCATTTTTTATGGAGGGAAGTTTGTGAAGACAAGGAAACGCAACCAAAAGAAACCATGTTGGTCCATCCAATGGTCCAAGAAATGCATAGGCCACATACCAACTGATAATTTAATGAATCTGATAAAACAAGGCAAACAATGAGAACAGCTTTCTTAAGATTCACGAAAGTGCCATTTAAAACACATTGGAGCTCTAACCATTGGAATGATGTCCATACTTAAATCGATCCTATATCGAGAAGCATCAAGTTCCAAGGAGAAATGCTATAGCAATTCAGTAAAAAAAGCAACGAATTTCTCAACCCTCGCAAAGTTCCAAGGAAAAATATACAGCCACTCAGTCAAAAAGGCAACATTCTTTTCAGCTAAATTCTCAACCCTCAAATCACCTGAATCAATGCACTACCCTTAAACCTAAAACCAACACAGACATGGATAAGAAAGATAATACACAAACAGCATGCCCTCTTCTGAAATTAAGAGGTGTCTCCTTTGCCAATTTCATTTTTCTTTTTCAATAAAAAATGTTCTATTCCAACTAAAGAAGCACAATGCACGAAAAAAATATGGTAACAGAGACATAAATTACAATATCCAAAGTGAGGTGAAGTCATGTCTAGCCCTGCACAACCCAGCCTACGTTTGATAAGCTCAACATCTTAAACATATATTTCATGTTTTTATGCTATTAAAAACAGTCATCCTTTGCGTTCCTTCACATTGTTTACCAGGAAACACAACAAAAATACAGAAGTCATACATCTGTAGCGAAACATCAAAACAAACAGTCTTCCTTAACACAAGTAAAAATCTGCAATTATCAGTATGGTCATGAAAGCATCGTGCTTTGAATAACAAAGCATCATGCTTTGAATAACAAAGCATTAACGAAAACATAACATCCCTCCATAGACTTCTAACGCAGTTCATATTTGTCCACTTCGTTACTATTATATTTTTCAGAAGCAAATATATGCTTTTCCTTTCTCCTGACCCATACAAAACATGAGGCTTGACCATTTCAAATCAACAAGCAATCCGCATCAGAGAAAATGAACTCAAACGTGAAATTAGTGAGCATCCAAAATCCAATTCTATAAAATCTTGACAAAATAACCAAGGAACTCCAATAATCCCAAGAGGAACTACCCAAACAAAGGTTAACCAATAGAAATTTCAAAAGAAACACAAAGAACTCAGTCAAGAACCATAACATATCACAAGAATTGGTAAAAAAAAAAAAAAAAAAAAAAAA